ATAGGTATTGTTAGGCTTAGATTTAGTATTTGGACCTACGAACTAGAGATTGATATTTTATGAGAAATGTGGTATTTCCATCTTAAACACACTTTTACTATCGAAAGAAGATTATTGATTAATTAATACAAACTTAAGGAAAGAAAGGGAGTTACTTGAATTAGAATTAATAATGGAATGTGATAATGTAGAATCTATATATGATTTTATATTTAAACATTTAATGCCAATCATTAATTATGTATTAATTGTTGGAACATTGGAAGCATATATATGATCATGACCTTTCTTAAGCGTGTCAAATTGGGAGAAAGTAAAATGTAGAGGGTCATAGTCCCACCAATCAAAATCATTTAAAAAATCCCTATCCAACTTTTTTTCCCACTTTATGAAAACAAATTATAATGCAAGTTGAAGAACAATGCACGAACCCCACCAATGATTGGAGATCAGATTATTGGTCTTGTTGCGTAGTAACCCTTATCTACTCGCTTTCTAACTTTGAGGTCATTATTGCGTCTGCTTAACAAGCAAAAGCACGTTCAAAGCTTCCCAAATTTTGTAGTCTTTGATAAATAGTTTTGTTAATCTCTTAAAAAAATGAAATAAAATAAAATACAATTTAGTCATTAAATACTAAAGTTGAAAGATTAAACACGGTTTCAAAAAATATATTTTAAGTTATTAATTATTGAATTAGAAAATATTTAAGCATTGTTTACATTCCTTAAATATGAATGTCTAAAAAGTCCAAAGTAGAAATAAATATATTAATCAGGGGTTGAATTTATAATAATGAAGCTTAAATCTCATTATTCTTATGATACCAAAATTAGAAAATATACTTTAAAAATTATTTTTGGAACCAAATTTTACATTTAGAACTTGATATGCATAAAAAACGTTTTAACATCTTTGAATTGAGGTATAACTTGTTGGGTGATCGAGAAGTGAATAGATTAGATAATATATAATTTAGGGTTGCAACACGACGTAGTTTAGTGGGGTTTTATTTTCAATTTCCCAATTCATCCCTATAAAAAGTTATATTTTTTGTGACGATACAAATATGTAATAGAATTTTAATTTAAATAATAAAAATTTAATCTTAATTATTGATTAAAGTATAAAAAAATATAAGAGATTACCAAATCCAAATTTCTTATATCTTTTGATAATTTTTTTTTTCGTTTTTTATGTTTGGTTGTGGAATGACCAACCACATGACATGTTTTTATGATATGATTGCTGTTGGAAAATGTTTTTATTGTCTTGAATTGAAGCAAAATGTCCAATAAACTCAGTGACCAAGAATATAACTTAGTTCATGAATTATCTTGAGTCACTAGACTTAAAATAAGTTCCTTTATTAAGTTTTACAGGAACCAGAATTTAATGTCCGAACTAAAACTCTTTTTACTTGTGATTATATATATTTGTGCGTTCAATTAAGATGAAAGTGAAGTTTGATAACTCCACAACAACGATTTTCTCATTTGAAAACTAGTTTGTTTTATGTTTTGTTTCTAACTCGAAAATAACTTTTGAAAAAAAATCACACATCCATACTCTATTTTTATTTTAATCTTAACACTTTCCTGTGAAATTTATTACCCTCCATAGTAACATTAGTAAAATAAATATTATGTAAGCTGCTTAAAAAGAATAACTATAATTTTCATATTATTACGTATATAATTGTTGTTATATATAGTTGCACTAAACATATCTTAATATTTTTATAGGTCTTTTCTATTTACATATTATTTAATTTCAATATTTCTATCTAATACTAGACTTCTATTTACACTTTAATTCTAACACTCTCTTCTATGTTTGATTTCTTATATTAAAAGTTTTTCCATTTAATTGAAAACATTTTTTAACTAAGAGTACTTAATGATAATTATTGCTAAGAATACAAATTTTTAGTGAAAACCTTTACTAGTACCACCATTTATATATATATATATATATATATATATATATATATATATATATATAAATAAATAAAACATGATTTATATAAATGATAATACTTATATTGTACTTATTTTGATAATCAAACTAGTCAAACTTTTATATCCTTAATAGAAAAAAGAGACTTTTTTCATAAATAATACTATTTTAAAAAATATTTTCTAAAATAGCACATTTGAAACATTATTTACCCAACTAACACTCTTTACTTGTTCACTGGGACTCTCGCTCAAACAAAAATGCATCGCTTGAGCGAGGAGACCTAAAACTTAAGGGTTTTGTGGGGTTTAATTTCGCTCAAGCGACATAATTCTTGCTCGAACGATAAGTTCTCTCGCTCAAGTGAGAAACCCTTCGCTTGAGTGAGGAGACCTGAAACTAATGGGTAATCTTGGGTGTTTTTCTGCTCAAGCGATGAGTAATTTCGCTCGAGTGAGAACTGATTGAAATATGTGGTGACCCAAGTTGTATTATGTGGCTAACTGCGTTGGACTATTCGCCTGTGGTCAATTCTCGCTCAAGTGAGAAATTCATCGCTTGAGCGAGAAAATTTATAATCGATTATAATTTAAACTAATAGATCATAATTTTAAAATAATCGAATATTTAAAATTATGATCAATTATTTCTCTCTAGCTCAAGCGAAAAATCCATCGCTTGAGCGAAGAAACCTGAAACTAATGGGTAATCTCGGGTGTTTTTCGCTCAAGCGATGGATAATTTCGCTCGAGCGAGAACCGATTGAAATATGTGGTGACCCAAGTTGCATTATATGATTAATTGAATTGGAGCTTTAACCTGTGGTCAACTCTCGCTCAAGCGAGAAATCTATCGCTTAAGTGAAGAAACTTGCAACTATTTATAATCGATTATAAACTAAACTAATTGATTATAATTTTAAAATAATCAATCTTATATCTTCACTAGTATTGAATTTCTAACTTGTGTGCGTTAGAAATTATATTAGGAGAGTGCTTGTTTTGAGAATTATTTTTTTAAAAATTATTAATTATGTAAAAAAATTCATAAAATAATCGATCATAATTTAAAATAATCAATTATTTTAAAGTTATAATCGATTAGTTTAATTTATAATAGATTATAAATAGTTACAAGTTTCCTCGCTCAAGCGATGGATTTATCGCTTGAGTGAGAGTTGACCATATGCTAAAGCTCCAACGCAGTTAGCCACATAATGCAACTTGAGTCACCACATATTTCAATTCGTTCTCGCTCGAGTGAAATTACCCTTCGCTTGAGCGAAAAACACCCCGAGATTACCCATTAGTTTTAGGTCTCCTCGCTCAAGCGATGAATTTCTCGCTTGAGCGAGAGAGAAATAATCGATCATAGTTTTAAATATTCAATTATTTTAAAATTATGATCGATTAGTTTAAATTATAATTGATTATAAATTTCCTTGCTCAAGCGATGAATTTGTCGCTTGAGCGAGAATTGATCACATGCGAAAGGTCCAATGCAGTTAGCCAATCACTTCTCGCTCGAACAAAATTACCCTTCGCTTGAGCAAAAAAACACCCGAGATTACCCATTAATTTCAAGTCTCCTCGCTCAGCGATGAATAATAATTGATCATAATTTTAAATATTTAATTATTTTAAAATTATGATCAATTAGTTTAAATTATAATCGATTATAAATTTCTTTGCTCAAGCGATGGATTTCTCGCTTTAGCGATAATTGACCGTAGACGAAAGGTCCAATGCAGTTAACCAATCACTTCTCGCTCAAGCAAAATTATCTATCGCTTGAACGAGAATTGACCACATGCTAAAGGTCCAACGCAGTTAGTCTCATAATGCAACTTGGATCATCAAATATTTCAATCAATTCTCGCTCGAGCAAAATTACTCATCGCTTGAGCGAAAAAACACACGAGATTACCTATTAGTTTCAGGTCTCCTTGCTCAACCGCACTTGAGCGAGAGAACTTCTCGCTCAAACGAGAATTATATTGCTTGAACGAAATTAAACCCTACAAAACCCTTAAGTTCCAGGTCTCCTCGCTCAAGCGATGTATTTCTCACTTGAGCGAGAGTCTCGTGAACAATAAAAAGTGCTAGTTGAGTAAATAATGTTCAGGATATGTTATTTTGGAAAATATTTTTTAAAATAATATTATTTATGAAAAAAAGTCAATAAAACATGTGTTTTTTCTTATTCAGAAAGGATAATAATTTACTCAAGAAATAAGATAATAATTCTTACATACAATTGTATTAAACATAATCTGAAAATTCTACTCATAATTAAAAAAAAATGAATAGAATAATCTTTTTAACAATAATATGGTACTTGACAAGCTTCTTAAGAATGGGAAGAACCTTTGTTAATTTTTATAAAGAAAATGGTTTTTATGAAAAAAATCCTTCTTCAAGATGAGTAAATGTGACGAAGAATTCTTCACATAACAAAAAAATGTGATAAAATCTCATCTCAATTAAAAATCCGGTAATATTAAAATATATAAATAAGTGTAATCTTTGTCTTATTAAACTTATTTTATACGAGTAACTAGCTCACCATTTTTAAGAGTTCGATAGCTAACAAAATTTTAGCACTTCCAAACTTTTAAGCGAAGCTCTACCAATGAAGCCATGGATGAAATGGCAACAACATCTAATGAATTTGTGAGCATTTTACGATTCCAGCACCATTAGATAAAATTTGAGGTGGAGAAACACTTCCGAGTTCCATACATATCTGTAACGCATACTTCTGCACTACATTACAAACCATTCACAGATTCAACGCTCAAATAGTGGTGAACAGAGAATGAACGCTTGCATTTTCTTATATCCACCAGTTTACATACATTAATCTACATCACCATCAAAGAAATCAACCATGCATGTGATCCCAAAAGGGTTGTCCTTGTTGCCACGTTCAGCCATGCATACTCCTCACATAAAAATGATAAAACATAAATCAAAATGTCATATAATAGCATGCATATTTAATATTAACAAGTTTTCCAATTATCATTCACAACTACAATTCTAGTCGTAGCAGTTGTGATGCGTATCTGTCACAAGTTTTAGTGGTTTCCAAGTTCTGATAACTAAAGGCATAAAAAAACAACTAATAATATAAAATAGGATGAGTTTTTATTAAAGCAAGAAGGAAATAGAATGAGTTAATCATTAACTTGATTCTATGAGATATTGAAAACTACATTGAATTGGATAATCCTATATTCTATATATGTATATTTCAAGCACATGCACACCACCCACTGAGATCAAGATCTGCAATCTGATCTTGAGTTTGTGGTGCAAATTTTAAACCATATTTTAATGGCAACTGTTATATATATGATGCACATTTTATTTGAGTTGCGAGAGAAAATGACATGCAGAAAGTATCTGTGAACTATAATGCAGAACCACACAGTGATGCCACTTTGACATGCGACACTCCAAGCATTACAAAATAAAGAAGTAAATTTAATAAATCCAAGAAAGAAAACAAGTTAACAGGCAAGAAGATGAACTTTTCTACTTTAAAAAAAATAAAATTAGTAAGCACTTCTAAAAATAGTGATAATAAAAAATTGTATATATATATATATATATATATATATATATATATATATATATATATATAATTTTTTAAAATCTTTATTATTAATTTGTATATAAGTAAATTTTAATTTTAATTAATAGAAATATTTTTTTTTGTAGAAATACTTATATGAAACATACCCTTTAGAAAAGTATTAAAACACAATCAAAGTTGAAAATTAATAGGCATTTTGTGACTGACAATGGCAACTTCTAGTCCTTCCAAGGTTGAAGGCAAATTAAAGGTTGTTTGATGAACAAGTTTAGTTGCTCATACTTAATTGTTATCAATGTATTTAAATCATGATTCTTTATTAGGCAACATTTTTCAATTGTTAACATTTTTTAGATCATACTTTTTTAACTATATTGTCATTGCATTTAAAATATATTCTTTAATTGTTGCCTTTTTCTTAAGCAATGTTTTTCATTGTTGTTTTTTTTAAGTAATAATTATGTAAATATTATCATTACTTTTGAGACTTAATTCTTTAATTGTTACATTTGTTTAGGTCATTTTTGTTATTGTATAAAATAATGATAAGATTGTTTCTTATAATCTTAATCTCAATCTTATTTATTTGGGGTTAGACCTTCTATTTTGGTTCCAAATCAATAATCATTAGCAACAATAAATCAAAGTTTATTATGCAAAAAGCATCTCAGAATAATTTTCCAATAATATAGTAATGGAACCAAATATAAAAATATAATTGTGCAATAAATAAGACAATACATAAAAAAACTAGTTCAATGTTATCTAAATTTTCATTATTAAAGCTAATATTATGACTTAACAAAATGTTTAATTTGTTTCTTTAAGGCTAACATGCAAAAACCTAAAAATTCTATTAGGAATAAAACTAAGATATAAGAAGTCAATAGGAACTAAATATGCCCGAGTATAAGAAAAGTTCATGAAAAATCATATTTGTTTAAGGGTTCCAAATTTGTCTAACATCATATTTTTAACTACAAACATAAATATAATTCCAAAAAAATCTATGAAATCTGAATAAAAACATAATAACATTAAACATTTCATGTGATATATTCACTAAAAGATTCAATTTAAGTATTTCTTCCCAATCAGGAAGACAAGTAGAACAAATAACTGTTCGGTGGCCACAATACTTTTTACCTAATACATGTGTCAACATTTATTCTATATATATCTTCCTCATCAAAATGAGGATTTTATTGTTTATGCATGAATTTACCTGCAATCTTCTTTGTCATATTATAGATTTCAATAGCATGTCCTTTACGGATAATATCAATTTCTTGATTTTTCCTTAATATTATTCATGTCATAATCCTTCCATAGCAACAAACTTGGTGAGGCTTTTGTTTTCCAAAAAATTGATTGAAATGTATGTTTCACAATTTTAGTTGAGGTTTGAACTGAATTTTATAACTTAGACTAACAAAAAGAAAATCAATCTAAATGATTATAAATTGAACTAAACTTAAAATAACATTTAATATTTCTTCATCCGTTTCGATTTGGATGACATTTCAGAGTCTTAGATAAACATTTTAGCTCTATAGACTTCTTTTCCATCCTTTTTATCACCACTCTATTGATTAAAATTGAAAAACTAATAGTAAAACATATATGTAAAGTATTAGATGTAGAAAATGAGACATAAGTAAATAACACAATGTGAATAGTAAAATTTATCAAACTCATAGGATACATGTGCTTTTACTTAGCCCAGTTCATTGCATATTCTTAGTGAAAAAACAAAGGAAATATATATATATAAACATAAAAGATATACAATATAGCAGCCAAATAACTAGTAGCAATTATTTAATACAACACATATATGTTGAAATAAAGACATATAAACTTTAACAAACTGAATCATAATATGCCAAAAATCACTTTCCTTCAAGATTTGAGCTATGTTTGGAGATAAAATAATGCTTTAAAATGAATAGAGATTATAATTAATCTGTAGAACGATACGAAATATGTTGATGTATCAAACAAGAAAAATAGATTATTATTCAAACACACCATTAACCTTCATAAAAATTAATATTTTTGAAAGAGGTTTACATTTAAAAAAGAAATTAAACAACTAAAGTTCAACTATTAAAATAAGCAAAAATTCATTATGTTTATGTATATAGGTAAGTCCATGCTCACCAACACGGTCTAAGTGAAGCTAAATGTCATACCACTATTTGGAATATCGCTGATACAAAATAGATACGAATTTGGTTAGGATATGAAAATAAATACCAATGTGCCGTACTTGGGAAAATCACTTAGGCCATGTGATTATGAGAAATCCCAACTCCATGAAATATTGGATCCTGTCCATGAAGATAATACCAAAATATAGCGAGACTTTGTAATTTCAGTTTTTCAATTGGTGGCTTCATTGTTATTCTGGTCATCAGTTGAAGAAGGATCATCAACTAAATTTACAAAATTTTCTGGTGGCTCTTGATCATCCTGTTGTCTCCTAACTACTGGATTTTGTAGTCGTAGAAGCTCAAACCTATGTTCAGGGCCGTGCTGCTGATTAAATCGGCCAGGAAGCCTTGCTTGGGTCTTGTAGCAATCACCACAAAGATCAAAACCAACCTCCTCCTTACAGTCAAGGCATTTATATCTATCCCCAGTAATAGGGAACATCTGCTCAGACAAACCACAAATATTAAAACACCATAGAAAACTATAAGGATAATAAATGCTGCAACTTTGGTCAACATAAAAAACTGGAAAGAAAAACAAAAATAACTGTGATTGCAGGTGCATCCGTTACCATCTTTATTGAGGAAATATTCACCTTTTCATTTGATGGAAATTATCGAAAGAAAAACCATGGTGAGTAATAATATCTCTAGAATTTGGGTTTTAACCAAACCCAATGTAATCCATGTAATCAACATCACCTAATGGAACAAGGCTAAGATTTTTATTTTTTATTTTTTTATCTTCCAAGGAAAACTTTTGGAAAAGGTATCATTTTTTTTTTCTACATTTCAAACATGGGTGAGTGTGACAAGAAAATCAATAAAGGCTACAGGACAGCATAAAAATGAAAGGTCCTATCAAATATCTCTCTCTGATTAATTCATCAGGATAGAAACACAATGCAACTTCCAAGTGAAAAAATATACAAAAATAATTAACATATTTAAATACATAATGAGAAAATATCTCTAGAAGCATTGTTTCTGTGTCAGTGTTCACCATCGCAACCCATATTGAATATAAGCATTGTAATTAGAAGTAATGGTTGCAAACCATAAGGTTACACGCACAACAGGGTATGTATAACTCCCTTTCTTGATATTGGATCATTGGACTAAATGTTAATCTTAAGACAAACATCAAAAAGTTAACAAAGACAAGCAGCTACTTAAAATGGTCACCAACTATCTAAGTCAATGAAAAACAGATTTTAACATTAAACACGCCCATTTTCACTGCCCCCAACCTTGACTAGACAGAAAAGAAAAAATAAATAAATAAATAACGCATCAAAGAACACAAAATGCATAAGACAAAAGGTTACCCCACAAAAATCACAACCAATTCCAACGTGAACTTTATATCTGGGATCAGACAACCATGCTATCATGTCTCCACCGTTAAGCAATGAACCTGAAAGCAAACCGTACATAGTAACTATAGTCTAGAACAGTAGAACTTAGAAGAAACAACAACAAAACAGTACAACAGTATGAAGAAAACATCAGAGTATATATCACCAGCCCATTGTGCTATAATTTTCTTTTTCTTAGAAAAAGGAGCAGAGGAATATCTGGCTGAAGCTGAGTGTCTGAATACACCACCGGCATTCATCAATATAGGTATTTTATCGTTGAGAATCAGGAACAAATAGGAATAAATACTATACATTTAATTTACTGTGATTGGACAATTGTATAGAAGATATTCTAACAGTCTTATAGGAAAGTTGATATATATATATATATATATATATATATATATATATATATATATATATATTCCAATAGGCAATACATACAAGATGCGGTCTGAACCTTAGGTTTGACTTTGGTTTGGTCAAGTTGAATTTCATCTCTTCTTTGTGCATATTCTTCTGGGAATTGCTCCTCCAAAAAGTGATCAAGTGCCAAAGAAACTTTTGGTAAGCTTCTTGGATGTGGACTTTGACAAACTTGACATTTAAGTATCACTTCAGATATTTTGAATACACAAGTCTCACAGTAAACTATAGAGATAGGGAAAAGTTAAATAAAAATATGTCAATTACGTTTTCTGAAATTGATGACCTTAACTGTGGTAAACTAAAAAATAAATAACCTTAAGTGCATCAATTACCATGACCGCAATTAAGAACAACAGGATGAAAGAGAAGTTGCTTGCACGATGTACATGAAACATCTGCAATTAATATTTTCCTTTTCTGATTGTGCTCATTCTGAGGTAACATTTTTCCTTCATCAGGAGTCCGAATGACTTCAAGTGTTCTTGTTGAAGTGTACTTAGAATTGATGGTGGTGCCTTCATCTCCTTTAAGTGTTGCAGACCCTGACTCCTCCCTACATTCAAAGGATTCTAGGCTAGTTGTGCAGCAAGGTGATCTCCCGAGGTCCCCTGATACAACTTGCGATCCACACGTGTGACCATTAAACTGCGGGGAGAAAAAGCCCATTTTCCCTTCTTCCTCTGAAGGTGAAATGAACAATTTTGGTAAAAAATTTCTCGATAATGTAACACGATAGAAGGGTGAAGAAAACTTCGTGCAGAAAATGCCAAGTGGGGGGAGGAGAAAATTTTCAAAACTAAAAATCATAGATGTTTATGTTGTATTAAACACAAGAAAAAAAAAATTAGAACATAGAGCAGCAAAAGTTCATCCATGCGTATACAGCTTTTTGTAGCTCTAGAAAAATGTTGCCAATAGCAGATATTGGAAAGTCCTAGACAAAAATCTGCTATATGATATAGTAGATAGCAACATTGGATTCTTAAGATTTAACAAAGCAATGATTAGGAAAAAACTCAAAGTAAACCTAACAAGGAGTACTCCATAATGAAAGGTGGATCAGTTGTAACAAACTACAATTGTCAAACAACTTATAATAATAGATAGTGGTTCATAAACAATAATAGAAAAGACATTACAAAAACATATCTCTAAACCCAATAACTAGACGTGGCAATATTTTTATTTTGTCATTTGTCAACGTTAAACATGTAACTCATGTTCCAAAACTGTCCAATAATCTTGTTTATATTTATAAACTTATACATGACTTAAACTGTTTTGAAACCTTCTTCCCCTCTGATTCTTCTATAATTATCCAAGTGTTGGTTGGTGCATTCATAATCATATTCTTCACTCAAGACAAAAGATTGATGTCCTTTTTTGTCATGGAAGGGTTTTAGCCAAGTAACTTCTGGTTCAGCATCTCTTTCATGAACATTTTCTATTTCTAAGAAGCAAAATCAATGTGTTTGAGCCACTAACAAAGCATCATCCACCTTGAGTTTAAAGGGGTATTAGAGTAGTATTGAACAGATACAGCTCTGAACTGCGTCTGTTGGTAGTTAGCTAACTATACTTTCTGTTAGATATTTGTTTCCTGTTAAGTTACAGATGCCAATGCCAAGTGTCAGTAACAGTTTTGCAACTACCTATGCACGGTAAAAATTCCAGTTTGTACTCCTTGATCATTGAGATGATAAGAAATCAGTTTCCCTTTCTCAAATTACCTCACATTCTGTCTGAATCACTTTCTGAAATTCTCTAATAGTGTAAAATATTATAAACACAGATTCAAGTGTGTCCAGGAAGTTACAAGAACCACAAAATTTAGGGTTAACCAAATCCATTAATGTCAATTGGTCATTATTTGTGGAGTGGGTGTTTATGGTGCTTCAAAAGCAATGCTACCATTGTAAAGAAACTTATTTTTCTAAATAAAAATCCATCAACACAATAAATTACCATCCAACCTACCAATTTCTTATGCTAAAAACTAAAAAAGTACTACAAATCCGGTTATGGTGATGCAATCTAGGTTTAATCTCGTGTCTAATCTATAATATATATCAAAGTTTGAAAATACATGACCCCTAAACCTAATTAGTCAATAGTCACCATTGCCAATGCATGCACAAAGCAACTAAACACCATAGATAAAAGTATATTTCTTAAATCGATCAATAATAACTACAAGCATCCCACTCTCTAGACCTTTTAGTGAAATATGACGCATTGCTTTCCCAAAAGACAACTACACAAGACATGCTTCAATTTGAATATGCTCATACATAAGCCCTTAGAAAGAGAAACATACCAAATGTCAGATTTTCCCTCCTCTTGTAAGCATCAGGATATATCTTAAGAAGCAAAAAGTGAAGCATTTGACAGATATTTGGAAAGTGATTATACGGATTCCTACAAATAGGGCAATGAGATTCACGCCTATGACTCATTGATTTGTGGACACACCAGAAACAGGAAATGTGACCACAAGCTACAAACACGGAAGAATAAAAAGGAAACCAAAAATTAAATTCTATCACAGCTTATTAAGACCACGGTAAGTATTTCGAAGAAATGATGCTTCCTTACATAGGACAACAGGCTTGTATAATAGATCCCTGCATTATAGAAGTAAAATAAAATTTAACGATGATAAGTTGTAAGTCATACACGAACTTAATTAGAAACAATAACTACAAGCCAGCTTCATCTAGTTTAGACATGACAGTAAAAATTTTAAAGTTCATAAATTGTCAGGTGTTTTAATTTAATATTCTGTTTTGTTTTTCTTTGCAGTTACGTTCCTATGATATAGAAAGAATAAGTCTTTGTTCCTAGATAATAGGGATCACATCCTAGTCATGTAAATGTGATCAGTTATATTTTGTTTCTGTAAAACGGCTTTATATAGCCCATTGCATTTATTCATTTAATGAGAAAAGGAAAACGCTTTTGATTGCCTCTCTATGTCTCCGATAGATATTGGAAACAATATGTAAACCCTCTAACAAGTGGTATCAGAGCTCCGCAAGGGCTTTGATAACCTAGTGAGTGAGTGAGTTCCATATAGCTTGCTGAATCTTACAACACAGTAAAAAGGAAATCTGAGAGCGTGAGGATTTAGACTCCAGAACAGCAAACGAAAAAATGTCTGAAAAGTTTGTGCAACCGGCTATTCCAAGATTTGATGGCCATTATGATTTTTGGTCTATGACAATGGAAACCTTTCTTCGAAGCAAGGAGCTATGGGATCTGGTGGAAGAAGGCATTCCCACACCTGTAATTGGACTAGGACTAGGCAATGAAGTTCAGAAGAAAGTTGTAGAGGAAGCCAAACTCAAGGATCTACAGGTCAAGAATTTTTTATTCCAAGCAATTGATAGGGAGATTCTGGAAACAATTTTTGACAAAGGAACGTCAAAAGCTATTTGGAATTCAATGAAAAAGAAATATCAAGGATCTACGAGAGTAAAAAGGGCACAACTTCAAGCTCTACGAAGAGAATTTGAGTTATTGATCATGAAAGAAGGAGAAAAGGTTGACAGCTTTTAGGGACGAACCATGGCTGTAGTTGGCAGAATGAAATCCAATGGAGAAATAATGGTACAAAGCAAAGTGGTAAGTAAAATATTGCGATCATTGATAACAAAATTCAATGTAGTTTGTGTCATAGAGGAGTCCAATGACCTAAGTGTTCTAACAATTGATGAGCTACATGGGAGTTTGCTTGTTCATGAGCAAAGGATGCGAGGTTTCCAGGAGGAGGAGCATGTGTTGAAGGCCACGCATGATGACAACACAAGCAGAAACACTCTAGAGTATCGACAAAGCAGAGGTCATCGTGATGCGTTCAGAGGGGGACGCAGCAGAGGGAGAATGAGACAACCCTTAAATAAAGTCACTATTGAGTGTTTCAAATGCCATAAACTGGGACATTTTCAGTATGAATGCCCTGAATGGGAAAAGAAAGCAAACTATGTTGAAGAAGATGAAGAAGAGGAGATTTTATTGATGGCTTATGAGGAGCCTCAACAGGAATGTGTAGAAGAAAGGTGGTATTTTGACTCAGGTTGCAGCAATCACATGACAGGAAATAAGGCTTGGTTTTTTAGTCTCAAGGATGTTCACTGCAAAACAATGAAGTTGGGAAATGATACACACTTGCCCGTGGTAACTAAAGGTAATGTCAGGGTGAAAATTAATGGTATAATTAAGGTATTATCTAATATTTACTATATTCCTACACTTAAGAACAACTTGCCCAGTATAGGACAACTCCAAGAGAAAGGATTAGCCATCTTACTTTCAGATGGGAGCTGCAAAGTGTTTCATCCCCATAAAGGTTTAATTATGAAAATTGATATGAGTAGGAATAGAATGTTTTATGTGAGAGCCTTTGTGAGTCCAAAACAGACCGAATGCTTTAAATTAGAAACTGTTTCAACAAGGGAAGCTTATGTATGGCACTGTCGCTTTGGACATCTTAATTACAAGGCCCTAAACATGATGGCTTGCAAGGAGATGGTAATTGATTTACCAGTGTTGGAGTATTCACAAAAGCCATGCACTACATGTTTGACCGGGAAGCAATCCAGAAGGCCCTTTCCAAGCAAATGGAGATCATCTCGTCCACTTCAACTGATACATTCAGATATATGTAGTCCCATCCTACCAACTTCAAACAGTGGTAAGAGATATTTTTTAAGTTTTATTGATGATGTTGAATATAGAGAAAATAGGGTTTGGAATTAATTTCCCTTGTGTATAAATCACACATAGGGTGGTCTATTTATAGTAGAGAGATACAACTAAAAGAGTAACTGAAAGTAACAGAATAAACAGAAGATATTGTTTGATATTGTGGTTACCAATACCTAACAATATCTTAACAATATCAAATAATATCTAAACAATATCTAACACTCCCCCTCAAGCTGGAGCATACAAATCGTATGTGTCAAGCTTGTTACAAATATAATCAATTCTAGGACCCCGTAAAGATTTAGTAAAAATATCTGCTAACTGATCACTTGAGTTAACAAACTCAGTCTTGATATCTCCAGACATAATCTTTTCTCGAATAAAATGACAGTCAATCTCAATGTGTTTGGTCCTCTCATGAAAGACAGGATTAGAACTAATATGAAGAGCAGCACTGATTGTCACACACAAGTGTCATTTGAGTGACATCTCCAAATTGTAACTCTCTAAGCAATTGCTTGAGCCAAACAAGTTCACAGGAAGCTGAGGCCATAGCTCTATATTCTGCTTCGCACTGGATCTTGCCACAACACTTTGTTTCTTACTTTTCCATGAAATCAAGTTACCACCAATGGAGACACAATATCCGGATGTAGATCTTCTATCCGAAGGAGATCCCGCCCAATCGACATCTCGAGTAGCAAACAACTCTTGTATGGTTATTAGAACCATATAACAATCCTTTTCCAGGAGATCCTTTAATATACTTCAAGATACGAATGACTCGCATTCCAATGATCTTCACATGGTGAATTAAGAAATTGACTTACCACACTGATCGCAAAGGAAATGTCGGGACGAGTAACTGTAAGATAATTCAATTTTCTAACCAATCTTCTATACTGCTCAGGATCAGATATAGGCTCCCCCGATTTGGTAGAAGTTTAGTATTGGGATCC